ACAACACAACTATGTTCGCTTTTGTCTCTAGTGAATACCAAAGGTTTAGTTGTCGGTTTGTTTTCAGAAATGCACGTACGGTTTATAATCACACATTTTGAAAACGCAATTTTACCTCCACATATAATAATTTTACGAGGAACACTGTTTTTTGTCCCCTTATTAAATATTTTTATCCCCTTATTAAACGTTTTTATCAGTGGAATAGTGTATGTTAGGAATAATAGTTTTTATTCTATTTAACAACTTAACACATCGGTACAAATTATTTCGACGTACCCATATGTCCCCCATATAACTTTGTTATACTTGATGTTCGTTGTCTGCCGTGGTGCAGTGGCAGTGTATGCGATTGCTGTGCTAAGGTCAAAGGTTCGATTCCCGGGTCGGACCAAATGTTTGCATGATCTGCGAATATGTGTTTCGGAGTTACTTATTTATAAAATCTATATATTTACAAAAAAAAACGTATATAAGTGTTCTATCAGTCAATATAGCTTAGTTTGAAACTAGATGCCGCTGTGTGTAAGATGTTCGAAAATATTATTATTATTATATTACTATTTATTAGTATTATATTTTTAAAACTAACTTTAAACTTATTTGACATATTTATGTCAAATAGATTTAAAATGGGTACCGGGTCTTTTACTTGTCAATATTTGCCAATATTTTGTATTTATATATTGCATTTGCAATAAAGATTTATACATTCACAAAAATATCATAAACTTTAGATCATCATTGTACCTGATTCAGCAGAAAAAAAATTGTATCGATACAATAGCAGCTGACGTCGTTATTAATGATCACATTGCGCCTAACGTCGTTTCTTTTAATCTTAAGGTCACACGTGTGTGCAACATAAATAAACGTATAATCATGTCCCCAGTTTCGTAAACAGAGTTGAAACTGATTTTATAAGCTTACGTTTTTGTTCATGAAGATATTTTTAACATTTATTACTGTAGACCATTGAGTTAAAACAACACTAGAGAAGCAAACCTCATTATCACACGTCGAAAAAAGTGTAACCACTTTTGAACTTTGACGACGTAGCTTTGATACCACTAAACATTTGAAAGTAAACATATTTATGTCTCATTTACACGCGAGACAAGAACAATACCATCGCTCGGATTAGACAAAGACAAAGATATAACTTTACGATGGTGGGCCAGTGTTGACTACCGTATGAAATTTTACCCATAACAACTAAGAAACAATTTTTTTTTAAAACAATTTTGTAATAAAATAAATTAATTTAAATATTCTAAATAATATATTTCGAATTGAATAGAATAGGTATAAATAATAAAATAACTGGAAATATTTGGTTAAAAGGGTTTATATTCAGTGTAAAATCAAACTGCGCTGTGCAGCATCAGTTTTGTATACAATTGTCTTTTAGACTCTTTTTTATAAGTTTGTGGATATTTTACTTTCATGATACACTCTTATTTTTACGTATGTAAAAATAATAACAATAATAAAAGTGAATGATCAACTTGTACTGATAATAAATAATCCCCAGGGTGTATTGCAAATTCTATTATAATTTAAAAAACAAATAAAAAAAAAAAATATTTTTATTTTATAAAAAAAATATTTATGTTTATTTACTTTTTTATTTTATATTTTTATTTTTATGATAAACATTTATTATTATTCTCTTTATTAAATTTTATATATACATATTAATTACATTTTTAAATATATTACAAAAGAAATAAAAATACATTTAAAAATATAAAAAATAGTAGACCACCGACATCGGGTACAGGTACCAGGACACCAGTGGTTAGGACTGCAAAGATAGGAACCTCCTCACTATACGAGCCGTGTCAAGGAGGACTGCCTTCTGTATCTTATTATTATTATTATTTTGTACAATTATTATTTAAAATTGATAATAAATTAAGAAAAACAATGAATTAATTTTTTTGTACAAAAGTCAGTCAGGTATTGTTCTTGTCTCGCGTGTAAATGAGACATAAATATGTTTACTTTCAAATGTTTAGTGGTATCAAAGCTACGTCGTCAAAGTTCAAAAGTGGTTACGCTTTTTTTGACGTGTTTTTTTTCAACGTTCAACGGGTCCCTAAAAAAAGGGATCGGTCCAGCCCTAACAACTACCGTTCTTCCTATATTTTATTATTATTGGCAAAATGTTTAAAAACAGTATAAAGCATATTATTTCATAAATTATAAATTCTCCCACTAATGTGGGAAAACGAAAATGATTTTTTAATGGTAACACTGATTCTAAATTACAATTATCAGTGTTTTATTTCAATTATAGCCTTATTTACGATATTATCAATACAAAAACCATAAACTTACACGTGAAAAGTAATTCCGCATGATTTATTAATGTTTTGTGACCTTGAATCGCATTCTTTCACTACGCATTTAGCCATTTTGGCGATTGTTACTGTCATGTGTCGCTATGTTCAACTCGGTTGACGCCACATTGAATAATGAATTGACGTTTGCTACGCATATGCCTGTGGACATATGTGCAGTAGCAACGATTTTAGGCGGTAATTACTCATCTATGTAAGTATTATATCAATGCTGTAGACTAGTATCAGTTTGTTAATGTTATTATTACTTTCAAACACCAAAATTTTAGCGCGCCCCTAGCTTAACTCAGTTCGTGTTTTATATAAAATATGCGGTCTTAGAAAGCTCAACACACTAAAAATTTCAAGCACTTGCCAACTTAAAACGGATGAGAATATTAAATACACATCAACTGAATGGTTGTTTCAACTTAAGACTTATTTTTTTATAACAATCGCTATATTAATAACTATTTCAGATTGATTGCCGTGTCAAACTGAGCTTTTAGTTAAAACAAATTTGTAATAAATATACCTGACACCATCTTTTTATTATTATTTTTGTCATCCGACAACTATGTGGTTCGGTAGTCTTACGTAAAGTAAAAAAAAATATGTAAGACTACTAAATATACTTTGGCAAGCCCTTCGGTGACTTCAACTGTTATCAGACTTATCAGCAACTAAAAAATAAAATAAAGCAACCATAAAAATTATCGACTTTTTGACAAATGTTCATATTGTATTATGCATATAATATAATATTGCATTAAAAAATCGCTTGAAAGACTTTCATACAAAGTTGTATACTGACAATATTATATTTTAAATCTTTCTGCTATTACCCTTTTTGACTATAATTTGACATTGATAAGTTTTTTTAACTACATTGATATTTCACATCAGATACTAACGTAGTTATAGTTTCTTCTTTATTTAAAACTAGCTGATGCCCGCGACTTCGTTCGCATGTAATTTGAAAAGCGCTGCCTTAGTGGTGTAGTATGGTACGCGTCTGCAATCCATGAGGCCTCGGGTTCGATTTCCGGACGGATTTTATAGGGTTTTTTCTGAGATGGAAGTAGCCTAAGTTTCATCTTATATAGACAGCTACCTGGTAGTAAAATGTTATCAAAATCGGTACAGCTGTTTTGAAGTTTACCCGTAACAAACAGACAGACCAAAAAATATTCAAATTTGGATTTTATGCACAGGTATCGTGAACATAACCGTGTTAATATGAAAAAACCTATTATATTGATATTACAAACAGACTAAGGGTGCAAACTACGCAGGACAACAGCACTGCAAAGAGAAGGAAAACTTGAAACAAAATCTATACCAACTCGTCTGGCCAGCGTGGTATAGTAGGCTGAAACCTGCTTTCTAATAGGAGGCCTATGTCTTGCAGTGGACTACTAAAGGGTGTTGATAGTAAAAAAAAAATATTTTTTTATATCGAAACGTCTAATAGTAGAGTCCTAGACGGAATTTCGGAATTTACTTGAGCGTGGCAGATTAACATAGGAGGAATACCTTACACCCAAACCATACATGAGCCCATCTGATTAGTAAAAAGAAACGATGGTCAGAAATATTCGAGCGATTAAGGTAAGTTGGGTTAATTACATACACATTAGTGTATTTTTTTAATCTGACGATATGAGTCACTAAGGCAGTGGAAAGGTCACAAAGTTCCAAAAAATATACACATGAACTTGACTTTTATTTTTATTTTGAAGCAAACAATGCAAGAAATTTTGTATAAATGTCTACTTAAGTTTTCGTGCTGTTATTTGTCACATTTTGTAAAAAATCAAAATTATTTCTAAACGTCAGATTTAAAATACCCTGCAAAATTATAGTCACGTTTTTGGCTACCATGACAGGAACATCAAGCTGAACCGTCTGTAAAAATATGACACGCTCGGGAATTTCAAAATGGCGATTTTAGAATTTGCAATTTGCATTTTCGAATTCTCTACCAGCTTGTGTCACTTTTAAATAGTCAGACCTTTTAACAACAGCATTTTTGGCGTCCAAATAACATATCCCCAATATATCTGATGCGCCCAATTTTTTATTTTTATTTTGAAAACCTGTAGAAGTTTTTCCTACTTCTGAAAATGGAAATATTATTTAACTTTTATTCATAATATTACCTAATCTTTTAAATGTAATAGGTCCCCATGACGCGTCAGTAAATCCCCATTTAGCATCACGGGCTCCCCTACTATAAGCACGTTGCGTTTGAATGATCTTTAATTTATAATACCTTGTCTTATATCTTGTCTTATTTACTTTTATAAAAACGCCAAATATATATGTAAATTAAAAAAAAGAGCAATATGCAATTATTTCTAATTATATTTATTAATAAGCAGTATCTTGTCCCATTAAAGTGTACCTCAGTAGATATAAAATACTTGACTATAGATAATAATAATTAATTGGTCACACTAATCAAAGGAAACTAAACAAAAAAAGACGTAATAGAACATTCCATAGACGAAAATATGTGTTTTAGAAATAAAAGAAAAACAATAATTTAGTGAAAGAAAAATATGTATATTGAAAGTGTATTAATAAATCGTATCCATATAACAAATTTTAATTGTTGTTTCACAACAGCGCGGTCAGATTACGGCTTGATATTCACGATTCACCCTGACTAACTTGCTCAGAACTGTTAGAGAGAGTTATTTTGATGTTCAACCCAACGTCTTTAGTAGGCGGGGTTTGTGCAGACACTTTAGTTGACTCCGAACCAACGGCGCAATTTTGAACTGTAATAAAATAAATATATTAATAATAATATTCTACCACATTCACACCGCGAAATCTAGTCCTAAACTAAGCAGAGCTTGAACTATGGGCACTAGACAACTAATTTATATACATAAATATATATTTTTATAAATAGATAAATATTACACATAGAAACATAAAAAATAATATCGCTTCTTTAATGTTGCTTTCATGTTTACTTAAATGGTCGTTTTTTAAAAACACTAAATTTCCCATTCTTTACACATTTTAGCAACAGCACATTAAAAGAATTCCTTCCAAGAAAGATTAGAGATAAAGTTTGAGCGAGTGCAGTGGTAGCGTATGCGACTGCTGTGCTGAGGTCTCGGGTTCGATTTCAACCAAATGTTTGTATGATTTGCAAATATTTGTTTCGAAGTTTGGGTGTTTTCTATGTATAATATGTATGTATTTACAAAAAAAAATTAAAAAAGATAAAAAAATAAATACAAAAAAGACCAAATCAAACATTAAATGTTCATGCACACAAATGTTTGACTTGAGAGGGAACCGAACCCGCGACCTTCAACGTAGCAGACCGTTATACACTCCACTACGCCATCCGGCCGCCATAAATAATTTCAGCAACCGTAATATAAAAACGATAAATTACTTTACACAAATATTAGTAATATCAAGTGTTTGGCAAAGTTAATATCATGAGACTGACATCGGTGAAAGGGAAGCAGAAATTACTTCATTGGTTAGAATTATTGTGCAGTCTACAACTGCGTACACTAAAAGTGTTATAATTAAATAAACATTTACATTTGAAATGTAATTCTGCTATTTTCTTCCAATGCACAGTTATAAATTTAATATCTACGGTATTAAGCACACAAGCAAGGGTTGTTACCAATATTTGTTAACCCAAGGTCTTTAATTTACGTAATAGTGAAATGTTAAAATCTATCTCATTAATAATATTTGAGACATCTGACTATTTAAGTAATCATGAAAGCAATATTAATGAAGCTATATTATTTTTGATTTTCTAGACAACTGAATTATGGTTATAGAACCATGCTTTATTTTTGATAATTTTAGTTTATTACTTTTAACAATACGTGCACATAATCTTAAATTACTATTAAGCTTTACTTCACAGATTTAGCTGTAAAGTTGTGAAGTGATAAATAGTTCTTACCGTTATTAAGTTGGATGTTCAAAATGCGGTGGTATAGTTCGTTAAATTTCTTCTGTCGCTTCATATTAGACGGCGTTCGTACAACCAACGTAGGTAGTAAAATGTAATGTTCAAGATTTGGCTCATCCTTACTGTGGTGCTTGCGATAACCTGGATCTTTCTTGACAACTAGCCTAGGAGCCTTTGTTTTGCTGGAACTGCTAGCACTCGTTAATTCATTACTTCCATTGCTTTTTTTCTTGGGAGACCCACTGCTTCTACAGGGCTTTGTTGGACTAGATGCCTGATAGCAACAAGTTGGCTCTCTACTAGACGGAGATCTGTTCGCTGCGTGACTAGTACCAGGAGGACAATCTTCATACGCGTATCTTTTATCTTGGGAATGACGAGTTTGTCGCGCCTCTGACAGCAAACGGTCGTGGCTCCTAGGAGTTCGGCGAGAACCTGATTCTTCCCACTTCCTTTCTGACATCATTGCACTGCCAGTAGTGTGATCACTTATAGTTAAATCGTCTCCTTGTCTGTTTTTATGACTGGCTACGATAATGTCTCCAGTTTTTCCTACCGGTCTACAACTCTCATGCCGGTGATTTAACTTAACTATCCTATAATGACGTCGTCTTCGACGTTCCACGTGAGCGACACGTTCTCGCAGCAAGCTGTCAATTAGTCGTTGCAGCTCACATCTTGTATTATATCTTTCGGAATGCGTCACTCGACGTCCAAGTCGAGCATTCGGCCAATGAGTTCGACATACATCTTCCCAAATAATGTCACTAAGTACAGCCTCTCGAGACGGTGTCAGTTTAATACCGTCGTCGCGCGGTGCAAACTCACCTTGCGCTAAATAATGAACGGTATCCATCAGTCGATAATCCCGAACTGGATTGAGTTTGTGTCGTATTTTGTGTACTCGTTCGGCAGCTATTTTTGGAATATCGTCTCGTTTGCATGGTACAGACGCGCATTGTCGCCGTCCACGAGCTGTTATGCCATCGTAAGCGGTAAAGTCTCGGCCGTACTGCTCAGAATTATGTTCTTTTTCCAAAGTAGTGGCCTTACTGGGTGTCAATGGCGGTACTTGCTGTGCATATCGCTGGAAGGCCGATGTTTCAGGAATATGACTATATTGTTGTATATAGCTACACCCGGGTCTCCCCGTCCCAGATGTGGCCTTCATATTTGCACTATCCTTAGACTCTTCATCAGATGATGACAGCGGTATGTTGGGATCGATTGAACGAAATACCATTTCTTGCCTTAAAATCTTCCGTTCTAAGTGATCGATTCTCTTGTTCAAGGTATTAATAGTAGTACGTGAGGGTGGAGGCGAAGCTTCGGATGAGGTGTTCGTGATTATTAATGTAGCAATGTCAATTTTATTAGGATTCACAGATTTCTTTTTATCTATGTTTGCTTCAGGTTTAGCAAGGTTCATAGTCAATGGCGGCTGGGTATACACATAGCATTTTTCCGCAGATCTTTGTTTTGTATTATACACATTGACTTTATGAGATGCGCATTGACTGTCAGTATGCGAGCATTTCGAAACTACTGTTGAGCTCTCTACCTGGATAGTTATTGATGAAGCTCTGTCTGTTTCTATTTCGCTTTTGGTAAACTCTTGTTCAGTACCACAAGCAATTGAATTCACAATATTTGGATCATCCTCACTAAAATCTAGAAAAATAAACTGTTTAATAGAATAAAATACTTAAAATCAAGAAAATAATTTAAAAAACTTACGAGTCGTGAAAGAGGAGTGATCGCCAATAGCAAGACGTGATTCTGACTTATCTGAACCCTGAAATATGTATAAAAGTGAAAAAATACAACTTTTGTTCAATTATTGAAGCTTAAATCAATTCGTATTATGAAATACCTTTTTAGAGTGAAAACGACTTTTTTCTGCAATGTACAAAGTTTTGATGGCGGGTGCTCTCGGTTTTATAGATACGATCACTCTTTGGGAGGCTGGACGATGCGTAGGCCTTCTCTGAAGTATCTCCAAATCTATAGATAAGTTAAACACTTACTATAAATATATAATATTATAATAATATATAATTATAAATTTATTTATAAATAATAAATGTATTTATTCCTAATCACAAAAAATACAAGTAACAATTTTTAAAATCTTAATTTACATTAAGTGAAACAAAAACTTAGTTTCCTATAAAATTGTATGTAATATTTTTGTGAGTTGTTTTGTGAGTTTTGATGTTGACGATGGTGATCAAACCAGTTATTTTAATCTTTTTGACGTGACAACGTCTTATAATTCGATGGAGCCGGCTGCACGCACGAAAAAACATGACTCATGCGGCGTTACCTCGCTCTGAGGCGTTCCATTTAAGGCGTGAAGTGCAAGCGAGAGCGCGGAACGAGTGACAAAGAGGCACAATCGGCCTCCACGTTCGGCAGCGTTCGACATCTGTCTCTCTCCTACTTGAGTGAGCGATGCATCCGCGTGGACAGCTGCTACTCGTATACAATAATACATACAAAAATGCAACCATTCCATCAGTATTTTCTTATGACGTTGTCACGTTCAAATATCGTCAGTAAACCGACTTTACAGACAACCGATTTTTTATTCTAAAATTGATGTGATTAAAGTTGATCTTAATTCATAGTTAAACAAGTAATGTTTGTTATCAGAGCAAAGCAATAGATAGTGGATTACTGGATTTGGTTTTATTTCAATTCTCGCTTAAGTGATCCCCCTTACATACATCTGCCCTACATGCTAGTTACACAGCAAATAAAATTTTGTGTCTTGTGCTTCCTCAATTAAAGGAGACTACAATATGTACATTACAAAAACAATATATATACAAACAGTGGCCATAAATGGCCTTGTTAGATGAAAAAAAACGAATGAAAGGATTACAACAATTAATTGTGTAAAAGGTAGTAAATCAGCAGTAGTTAATATGTACTAATAATATTAGTTTTTATTTTTACTTAAAATAAACAAACACGAGTTAAAATAATATAATAGTGTTCAATATATGAGTACGAACTTTCTTTTTTTGTATTTATCCTATTAGCCTAATTTAGACTATCAGAAAAAATGTCTATGTCCCCCGAAGCAACTGAAATGATGTTATATTCGTGAGTCATCTTAGCAATTGGTGCTTGCTTTCCTAAATTTGTCCAGGCCGGTGGGACCTTAAACAGGGGGCGAGGGTAGCGTGGGATTCTAGTTGGGACACATACTCATTTTACTGAGGAGGTCTGGACAGTCAATGTAGTTATGGAACAATTTGTATAGGAATACTAGGTCAGGGATAGTAAGGCGGTCCTGAGATATAAGTTTGAAATGCGTCAGTTTATCCTAGTAAGTACTTGAATTCCTAACCCGAAAACGGAAAGCTAGATTTTGAACTAGTTTCTTTTGGATTTGTTCTATTTTGTATATGTGAACTTGGTACATTGGGTTCCATACCGTGCTGCAATATTCTAAATGAATCCATAAATAGCTATTGTATAAAGGATCATAGTGGATGGATTTTTAAATTTCTTCGAGGAACATAGTACAAAACCTAAGGCTCTCGATATGGTGAGTTAGTTATCTTATCATAATGATGTATAAATATACATTAGTGCTTACCCAACAGAAGTTGTTTTTTAGGCAGGCAGGTAGTGCCTCCTGCGAGCGAATCGTAGTCAACCTCGCGAATCAACTTCTCCTCTTGGATGGACAGTAACTTCTTCTTTGATGGAGACTGTTTATTGTCCATCACATTTTATTTTCCTTTTCGCCTGCATAGTTCTAAAACTTAACCGCCTGAACTAAAATGATATGTATTAAATACTATAATTTACAGTTTTTACACACAAAAAAAGAAAATTTTACATTATTCTGACAGAATCATTGACTTAATTTGATTTTACTTCTTTTGCACTGACATAATTTATGGTACTTAAAAGTTTGTATTCTTCCATGTATGTTTGAGAAAAATATTTTTTAAGATGAACTGGATAAAACAATAAACAGTATCATATAACACCAATTTTTATTTTACATCTTTAAGCCCCTTTTGTTAGAGATGGTTAAGAGGTGTGTGTTATAGTCTTGGTGGTAGTTAGTCAATAAAGCAGAGTTTATTTTAGGCTGCTTTGTAATTTACAAGTAGGTACGTTCTTAGAATTTTACTGTTCTCTATCAAGTTTATAGGGCATGTGGTCTATATAATAACTGAAGTGGTAGTTATACTCTTGAAACTCGAACTTGTGAGACATAAATCAGGCTAGTACAGAGTGTATCGTTAAAGTATGATATGGTAAAGTCAGTTAGCAATAAAAGTGCACCGACGTATTTGTCGATTCACAGCCTCAGATCAAATAAAAAAGTTCAGTAACTCAAATTTCTCACGGTTTGAAAGAAACCTACATATATACTTATTATTTTTACGTGTTTTCGTAAAACTATGTTTCTTAATTGTGGGCTATTTAAATTGTGTGACAAAATTTAGCCGTTAACAAAGATTACAATACATTTCCAATCTAAATATTTTTAACTATTGTTGTCAATTGATATAACTGATTAACTATATAATTAATTTATTTTATTAAATTATTTTGTGTGAACTTATGAAACATTGACTTTAAGGTATATATAAATAATTTTGATCCAAAAAAGAATGTTGATGTTGTTATTTTCAAGTTGAACATTGACATAAAACTTTATAAATAATCCTATACTTTCTAATAAAGTCAAGTTTGAAAATGGAAAACACTAAAAAAAACGAGAAAAATATCTGTCAAAATTCACAGAGCGTGACGTTACAGACAATTGTGGTACTATAAAAATGGTAAACTAATTTCCTGGCAACAAATTAGGAAGGTTTTACGATAAATAATAACGTATGGATGATTGAATTGTGAAGGATGTCGGACGAAGAGAATCACAATGACAAAAACATCCGTGGATCGCAAACAGTCGTGATCGAATCGGCATCCAGCAAGCCAGTACATAGGCAACCCGCCAGCTCAGCTGCCGAGGCTCCCACTCCAAGTCAAAAAGTCGTGCCAACTATAATAAGTATGATCTCACATGTTTAATATTGACGGTTACTTATTCTATTTAATATTATGAATGAGACAGCATATATGTTTGGATATTTGCTACTCAATTACACCAAAAGTTTTGAACGTATTTGAATGAAAGTTGCATAAGTTCGATAGTAGTCCATAAGTAAGATTAATACATGCCTATTCTTGCTCTTTATACATCTAAATTCTTGAAGGGGTAGGTTTCATAGTACGGGCAATTGACACTGTCAATCCGGACTCTTAAGGAATCACATGAAAAATTTGACTTTACTTGAGAGAAAAGGCAGATAAAGAAAAACTGTGGGAAAGGGCTACTGTTGAAACGGATAGACTGTGATATGTATTGCTGATGGTGTTAGCAATTACGATTACATGACCTGGCTATTGTAAAGTCAAGCCCTGTAACCTACCCAATTATTATATATACTTCTTTTTATTCCGATAAATATTTTCTGCTGGTAGCATACTGATATATTTTCCGTTTATTCGAAATCAATGGAACAACTTGACACAAAATAGAGTTATGACAACTCATACCTAATACGTTATCTAAACTTTCTTTGGCGCAATTGTACTCAAAGAAAGTATTACAGTCATGTACGCGTGGGATAAGATATTTTTCCATTGATTTTTTTTTCTAATTTAATTCAATTTTGAAGAATTTACAATGGAATTTAGACATAGAATTTTGATTGTATTTAGTCTAGTGACTCATTAGCAAGTGTACTCTTCGTATAAACGTATTGATGATATACTGGCTCTTCTATATTTTCGTAAAAAAGGGTCCACTAAAACTACTTCTGACTTCGTCTATTTACAGTGGATTTGTCCATTCAAAAGTTGCCTGTAAAAAAATGTTCTTTAGCAATAAGGGCGCCATTTGTATGTTCATTAATTTGATGTACCCTTGTAAAAATTAACAAATGGTGTTCTGTTTTCTCAAAAGTATATCCTTATAACTTCATATGTTTCAAATAAATGTATACAGTTTAAAAAAACATGAATCATCTACATCTTCTATGTGATTCGTTAATTTAGTAGAGTATGTAAATAAAATAATAATTTTAAACAGATATGTCTTCTGAGAGGCACAAACACGTTGCCAAGAACTTGTCTGCAAGCATACCGTCTAAGACACGAGACAGTTCACACATTGGAATACCTATGGGACCCATGGACACGGGTTTGAAGGTAGGTTTCTTAATGACTTTCTTTAAAACACAAAAATTTTCCCATTTTCCCTTTCAAAACTTCAAAGTCAGTGCTCATTTACATAGTTCTTTATTCCTTTTTTTTGTAATAATAACCATAGAAAAAATATATATTCACATGGTATTCAATAGAGTTTTTAGTAGTTATCTTTTAAAACACCGTGTAGTGAACGATATCTCACAAGCATTTGCATTATATTTCAGAGGGATGAAGTAGTGGTGATGACAGCTCCCGTAAAACCAGTGCCTGTTCTGGGGAAGGCTGCATCTCCTATCCCCAGCTCTCATGTCAAAGATGACGAGAAGGCAGAAGTGGACTCAATAACTTCAGAGATTACTGAATTGCGGACCCCGGAAGTTGTAAAGAAAACTCCAGAATGGGTAGGCATACTTTATGTCTTTACTTTTTTTGGCCTAGTGCTCCTCATAAGGTATATATTAACAGCAATTTTAGATTCTAATATGTATGTATGATGAGTTAATTTTAAATTTCATATATCGTTTCAAGCAACCCAAGCTACCCCTTATTTGAATAGGCCTAGATCGATTCTTAGTTTGATGGTTTTTTTGTCTTACAGAAAACTTCTTTTCTCGTTTGGTATTAATACCTTCGCGATACATTTGTAAGATCACAAATAATTAAAATTCAATTGTTAATGACTGTATAAAACAAGTGTATGTTATACCGTTTTGTAACTATTTATTTGATCACTAAATCTCTATATAATATGTTATGTAGTATAATATATTTATGTTTAAATTTGAACTTTGACAATTATTATTATTATTAGTACCAAGTCTCATTTAGCTTGACATGCCCAAGAGTTTCCAATAAATCTTAAGTTCTTGTAAATTAACCAGCAAATTTATAAATCTTAAATGATAAATTGTTCTATATGTGAACTATTCTGACGTATAAACGCGAAATAAAAACAATGTAGTCAATGTAGGATAACAAAATGTGTTTAAAAAAACCAAATATATTACGTGAGGCACATAATATATTTTGTTACATTGCATATACTACGAAGACATTCAGTTGCAGTGAAGAGAATTTATTTTAACAGTTTAAGGAATAAAAATAGTCAATGGTTGGTTAGCCCAAATATAGTGAAGGAGTCGGTAGTCAAAAAAACACTGTTGGTAAAAATTGCATGGTACTAAATCATTACTACTAAAGTTCATCATCAAGTGCTTATCCGAACGTAGGGTTGGTTGTATAAAGGCTTATTATTTCCAATGCATTGTTTTCTACGTTTCATTTAAACATGGAGTGGATCATAAATGATTAAAAGTACCTATGGTAGACCGTGAGCAAAGATCACACGGAGGCCATTGTAATTATATATATCATCAATTAGGTACTAATATATTAGAACAGCGGCAGCCCGCACCTACCGTAGTTTTAAAATATTGCCTTACATATAACTCAAAAGCTTTAATTGACTATACTTGAGACTTGCATATAAACTGATCTCGTGTGTTGTGTATATGTGTCGTGCGCGTGTAACGTTACTGTTGATTGATTGTAGTCTGACGAAGAAGAGGCGAGCGGGCTGCCGCGCAACGAGTCGCGCGCCTCCCGCACTTCGCGTGGCTCTCGCGTCTCTCACGTCGTGCGCCAGTTCTTCTGCTGCGGATTGCAGATCGAGGCGCCCTCTGAGGAAAACGTGTCCTCACCGCGAAATGATATCCGCCATAGCGGCATATAACTACGACTACACTAATATTTCCACTTCATTTGGAATCAGCTGGCCATTCCCGATGTTTCTATATTTAGTTTCTTTAGCAAATAAGCTATAAATGATCAATCTATATGATAATATAGTTCAGCAGATAAATCTAACGAGTCCTCACATCTTTACAATTAGAACGTCAAGAGAATTCTTTGTACCACACTGGTATGCAAGAACCGGTAAGAAATTTTCATGTTGGGGTGAGAGTTAAATTCGGAATACTTAGTTTATATGTGGAAGAAGTACAGAAAGCAAAATTTTTTAAGAGATGTAATATAAACTTGAAATGAGTTACATAAATTTACAAGTGTGAAGCATATACGTTGATCTGTCTTAATATGATAATGTGTAATGACTGTTCAAAGTTCAACAAGTTTAGTGCGTTGTGGTCGAATCTCTCGTAATAATAAGGTCATTGCGATCGGGTATGGCCAGCTGAAATAATGAAAACTTCGGCTTGTAAACACTGTGATATTATGGGCGAATGTACTACAAGACTGAAAATCGATGTTAGTCTTATGACTCTTAGCTATATATATGTAGAAGAGTGTAAAGCGTAGTCCTTAGTAATTGTATAAAATAAAATAGTTTTTATTTACAATAGATTGCCACGTTTATTGCTTCAAATTTCAATTACGAGAAACTTTATTGATTCCTGATTTTTATTAGCATTTAGACTTGACTTAACATCGTCTTTACATTGATTTTGATAAAAAACCATCACTATCGAATTTAAATGTGAATTGGAGCATCAAAATTAAAATTATTCCTATTAATTACAAATATCCAGTCCCTAGTGTTTCCCCAGGAACTCACACAACAAAAAAAAACAACATAAAAGTTATTCTTAAATAGGTCGCTTGTGAAACCTGACTATAACCATTATAAACAATAAAAATACATTTGAATACTCCTTACACATTTCTAATGTGCAGCCAAACCAAGCAAATAAACAAGAAAATGCCATCTCAAATGCGAACCTGCATCACTAAATCGAAAAAATATTTTGATTTCAGGAAAGTACATACTACTTACATACTTAAGTTGCTACTTGATATAGTTGTATTGTAGTTTCGTACACCATTTAAAAACCAATCTGTTATCGCATTACTCAAATTTCTTCGTCAATATAACGTCTTATTTTGTCGGGTTTTGCAGCCAGAGCTACAGCTGTCAAAATTTATCTTACACTGTACCACCAGGGAAACTACCAGGGGTACATAGGAAAATAAGGAAATGGCTTGGTGGGGCAAAGTGGAATTCTTCCAATATTATAGCCGAAATTGGGTGTATGGATTATACGTTAAAACCACGTTTCACTTAACTAATACTAATAAAATTATTGTAGGCCTTAGTGTTTTACACCACTAAATTCACTATTTTTTCGAATTACCGCTAATTCTGATTTTAAAGTTCATTTTTGAGCGAATCTTCATAAAGTTGAAAGTACTAATGCTTTACAATCTGCGGTCACTGCTACTTTCCCTCTATGTCAATTTCGGCTCGTGGTGCTCCCTACCGCTGCCCACTGTCAACTCTGCTGGACCACGGGGCTGATGGAACTGATAGAAGAACTTTTAGAGTGTTGCCTAACACGTCCCACGATATGTCTGTCCTACTAAAGGATTTCCACTTAGTAACATTTTTAAATGAAGATGTGGTATGTAGGTAGGTGTCTTCAATGTTAGGTAATGTATATAAAGTTACGAACAAAATGCTTATTCGTACACTAAAGATAATTTGTTTATTAATTATTGCTTATTTACTTTATAAATGTTTTTAGTACTGTTGCTTATTTTATTAACTTTCATTGTTACATGCCTTGATCATTTTTCAACAATAGTCTTGAATTTATATAACTAAGGTGATTATAATTTTTCATTTGTTATTGTTAAGTATATATGTTTATTACTGTACATGACATCTGTATATTAAAACTGCAAAATTTTAACAGGTTTTTAACAGACACTTTTTTAACAGGTTGCCCTGTCTCATGAATCATTATGATACATGATGTAATTTTTGTACGATCTTTACCACGTCCATGCATCACACATGAACAAATTTACAGATTTTTGAGTGGACGCAGCAATACAAATTCAATTGTTAGTATAGGGACGTATTGGGTAAATTGTCTAGTACGAAAAAAAAGATAAACCCATGGCGATTTTTCCCTGTAGTTTTGTTGTCATTGATTCAAGTTTTCTGACAAAATGTATCCAAATAAAACAAAATGAAGCATTTGCTGGTTTATTTTTCGAAAATTTTTGATTTACCTACTGAAAAACCGGTCAGGTACGAGTCAAACTCGTGCGCCGAGGGTTCCGTACCTACCCATATTTAACGATTTTCGCGAAAATTTGTAAGTACCAAATTTTTTCTTAATATTTTACTTCATCAATCATCACATCAACAGCCTTTACTAGTCCACTGCTGGACATAGGCCTCTCCTTAGAAAGGAGGTTTTGGCCTACTACCACGCTGGCCAGACGGGTTGGTATAGGGTTTGTTTCAAGTTTTCCTTCTCTCTGCAGTCCTGTTGTCCTGCGTAATTTGTTCCCTTAGTCGCCTCTTGCGACACCCACGGATGAATAGGGGTGGTGACACTCTGTATTCTTAATCCGTCACCACACGGACCTAATTTTTACTTAACTTTCTTTATTTCTTGGAATTATTCCTTTATTTGTGCTGTAAGACGTTTCTTTTTGCCAAATTTCGTGATTCTAGATCCACGGGAATTACCATTAGGTTTTCGACCCAAAACCTATAGGGTACTTCCGGTTGACCTAGAATTGTCAATTTTGGTTATAAGCAAGGTCTTACAGCACAAGTAAAGAGAAAATTCTGAAAAATAAAAAAAGTTGAAAATTAAGGTAAATTTTGGTACTTACAAGTTTTCGCGAAAATCGAAATTTGCCCATACCTTTTTATCGTGTTGACTCAGGACCTTGATTTCTATACACCTAATAGGGACCATAGACTCAGTATCTGGTATAAATTTCAACTTACTAGGTCTCTACCCGTTCCTGAAAAAATCGGTGGTGGCACACGGACAGACGGACAAGAAAGTGATCTTATAAGGGTTCCTTTTTTACCTTTTGAGGTACGGAACCCTAAAAACAAATTTTATAAAGAGTCAACTGTCAAAATAGACGTTGTCAATAATATTTTGATCTTCACATGTTCAATGAGTCAAATGATACACGGGACGTATGAAGTCAAATTTGAAACATCACGTTCATGTTTCATATATAATTCAATTTTTCTTTACTATTTATCAGCCTTAATAAACTTCAAAATATATAGATAACTAATAAAAACACTATCAAAATTATAACTACAAAAAAATAAACACTACTTTTTTCATGAAAAAGTCACTATTGGTTGGGGACAGGGAACCTGTTAAATTGATTTCATTGTAGTTGCCTCAGTATAATTGACTGACTTATATTATCACGAATAATCTACGCTTAATTATTTTGTCTACACCAGGTTTCATTATTGCACTAGAATTTGTGGTGGTACTTTTATGGTGTAGGGGCGAACAAGTAGACGGGTCCCTGATAGGTCTGCGAATATTTTAATATGTTCTGCGATGTAACGTTTGTATACAGTTAAAAGTAAAACAATCGTACGTATACGGCAACAGTAGAATATTGTGGTATGAACAAAAATCGGGGGTTTGCACCAATTCCTACTACGATCTCCTACGGATAGGAGCACGAAAAACATTTTTTCTATATCCTGGTGCTCACACTTATAATAATAAACTAGCTGAGACCCGGGGTGTTACCCGCGTTTGTTGTTATAACCGCGGGCAACGCCGCGGGGTGAAGCTAGTCTAAAAAAGTAGCCTAAGTTACTCCTTATGTCATCAGCTATCTGCTAGTGAAAGTCCCGTCGAAATCGGTCCAACCGTTCCAGAGATTACCCGGAACAAACAGACAGACAGATAAAAATTGAAAAAAATGTTATTTTGGCATATGTACCGTGTAAACATACATATGCATTTAGTAAAAAGCGGTTATTTTAATATTACAAACAGTCACTCCAATTTTATTTATTTGTATAGATTACAACGACCGAAGTATTTAAGACTATTTGATGTCGTTAATACACCTTAGGATGTATTAAATAAAATAAAAAACCAGAAGTTTCTTTTATTGGTACAATCTATATTAACTCAATATACATTTTATATTCCATTTTGTTCTATTAAAATGGGGTTTCCGAACCGACCACCGACCATAGAGTTGTCCAACTGGTTGGTCAGTTAGGAATATTTATTCCTAACCATTGAACTTCTGCAACTGGTTGGTCAGTTAGTAACAAAAGATACTAACCGAACACCTGAGTTGTCCACCTGGTTGGTGAGATCTAAAGAAGAAGATTAGTGTAGAAATAGAATAATCAAGAAGTAGAATGAAGATATTTTGTTAAAAATAGGTTCAGTAGTTCCAGAGATTACACTTACAGAGATAAACAGATATATATTACCCATGTAATGTATAATATATATCTGTGGTGCAATGCGCTAGAAGGAAGTATGACCGTTCCTTAATTACCCATGAAACTAGCGGTCAGTTGTGCAGAACAGAGAAAAACATTCCCCATGACACTACCAGTACTGAAAATGGGTAGTGCAATGGGTCAGAAGGATGTGTAACTGTTTCTTAATTACTTATGACACTACTGGTAGTGTTGTTTGGTAGTGCAATGGGTCAGAAGTCAAAAAATTAGCAACATCTCCCATAGTGCAATCGTTTTACGGGATTTCATGCAGTTTGATTGGCTACTTTGCGGTTCTTTTATCTACCTCTACCTCTCTATCTCTCTGGACAGATGGTCTAGTGGCTAGTGACCCTGACTGTTACCCAGAACGACCTCTGGGTAACAGTCAGGGTTCCTAGCCACACACACATCGGGTTCGATTCCCACCCAAGACAAATACGCGTATAAAATATAAATATGCGTATGCTTATCTGCACTCTTATTACCATAGTACAGGGTCTTCCTAGTTTGTGACCCTGTATGAGATGTGTGAGTTTATTATTTTACATTATTATTAAATTTGTGAAACTGTACCGTCAGTTTGCTTTATATCAAGTTGCAAAGCTATATAAGATAAGAGCAAAGCTATATATGGGATATAAAAGGTGTTTTACATTGAACAAGATGAAATATACACGAAATTTTAAGTCAAATGTTAAGCCCGCACACAAGTTTGTATTGTAGTGTAGGTGTTGAGCGCACAAATTTACAGACAGACATTATTTTGAAAGCTTTAATTATTAGACATCATTATTATTTATAAATTCCAACAGATATTAGTCGTTTTTTGTTGAAAACAATCCTCTCAACCTCTCAATTGGGATGTAGCGGCCCGATTGCATCTTAGTGCGATCAGGCCGCCATCCTATCCCCTACCGCAGCAATTAATCTCCTACCAGAGGTCTCCAAAGTAGGTATAGACCCCAATTGTAAGGGTAACCATAAAAGATCCAATAAATATTTTATCACATTTATTTATTGTAATGAACATAGGATTCTTGACTTTTCCAAAATGAGATTTGTTAAATTTGTAAGTTGCTATTCACTAATTCACTAATCGGTAGGTACCTAAAATATAATGTGTATGTATATTTCACTTACGTTTGTAGACTTTATCCTATTGATTTCCTGCTGATGCCATAAAAGGTTAAATAATAAAAATAAAAGTATCTGAACATTTTTAGAAGAGTGACAACCGTAACGTGAATGGAGAAGAAGAACCTGTTCCATTACAAAGAAAACTAGGCAACGAGATCTTAACCGCCAGCGTAAGAACTTCATGTCCATTTTTCATTATATATAGATATTAGTAAGTGAATAGAATTATGGGACGTTGGTATCAACATAACATAAAAATTTTTGAATACAACAACAGTACTAATAAATTTCTTGCCTGATATAATTATATTTTGTACTACTCATAATCACAATATCTACGCATGTGTGAATTTTATAATAAAAACACAAAAATTTTCTTTGTCTAGTAACTTTCCGTTTGTGGTGGTTTACTAATAGCGCTAATTTACAAGTTAGAAGATGCTCGTTCACCCACTGGAAAAGTTATAGTTTTGAAAGTTATTATGAGAGTATCATAAAACCATTGTTTTTTTTTTTTTACCACAGCTTGTAATGAATGAAGCAAATGAGGATGATGTTTCGACAAGTTCTGATTTAACAAAGAAAAAGGAAATTACTTGGGGTAAGGACACATATCTGGAGAAGATGACTTTACAGGTGCCGTGATTTTTGCTGAATACTGTATTTTACTAACAGTAGAACCACCTTTCTAAAAATCATCAAAAAACTTAGATACTCATAAAGTGACGGTTTTCTAACGTACCACACGAACATATCCGCAAAAGGCGTGAGACTCGAGGTACGAATATATGAAAGTTTTATAAGTACTCGTAAAACAAGATAAAATTACATAAGTAGTACAAGAGTTACCGTGCCTGTAGCACCCAGTGAAAATTCACGAAGTTTCCTGTTATTTTTGATCGCAGCGAAAAGCTTGCTTTGTTATGTGATTCTGTTACCGTTACTTTGTTACTTTGTTACCGTTAAAACGGTATTGCAAATAATAACGAAATAAAAGTTAAAGCTGAGCAATGATTTCTCAAATTAAATAAGGTTTAACAATAAAATTAGGGAGACAGTTTTATACAGTTACCCAACAAACAGTAAAGAGTGATGACGTGGCCTACGTCGTACTTGTTCCGACTGGTATTATTCCTTGCAATACGTTAATGAATTATACATATATGTGCTACGTAATTGAAGAAGTACAAAACCAATGTGTAGGTACTTTCAGAATTTAGGTGTACGAAGCGCATCGTGGATGTTAGAACGTAAAGCGTCCGTCGGTCCTTGTTATAAGCAAGGAATGCTGTTCGGGGAGCCATCAGGAATCAGCGTCTGCTTACCTAAGGTTTGCACACTTTATATATTCATATATATAAGTAATATAATATAAAATAAATACAAAACTGCTATAGATGTAAAACTTTATAACAAAATGTAACTTGGTTAATATTATTTCAACGAAAATTAATGAAATTAATGGAAGGATCGGTTTTTCATAATTAAGAGATTAGTATAATCGTGTATCAATTTAAAGCTTATGTATAATGTTAAATATTATAATTACAATCATCACATATTTCTTTCAGAAACATTTGAAGCATGCGAGTTCTGCTCTAGAACATTGTAGACCAATCAAATCCGGGATTAGTATTATCATATCTGGGGTATGTTTATATTTATTTGATACAATACCTATTTCTTATATAAAAATATAACACTTTTATGTCCATTTGATCGCAGCTATCTTCCATACTCCAGTGTAAGTTTATTGTAGTTAGTATTTAAGTTTTTATATAAGTTTTTATAATTTAACCTACTCGAATAATTTCTTAAAACTGATTGAGAAGCTAATTACATCATAAACCGATTAACAAACTGACAGCTGTATAAATAACCTACAAACATGTAAACTGTTGTAAACTGTCCCTGTTAAGGCTTGTCAGTTTAGCGGTTACTGACGCTATAAAAGTGTATTCAATTAAGTTTTCCCTAAAGAATATCTTAAATATCTATGTTAAATAAGGGATAAGGTTAGTTAGGTTGTAATATAATATGTTGACATTCTTATTTTAATTTAATTCTCTTTCATTGAATGATATTGTTACAGAAATGTTCCAATAAGAAATCTAAACTCTTTGGGCCGGTTCAGTTTGAGATGAGAAGAGCTAAAGTTTCCTCAAGGAGAAAAGAGGAAGAGAACGCTGAGTCAAAAGTAATGAATAATTTTTCTATTTTTTTAAAGGAATATAATTATTGTCTGTCCTACTTTGATACAAACATATATTATTTTATGTCTAACTGACTGTACGTGTTGCAACAATCATCTATTAATCGTCATCATTAATATTATGTAATAATTGGATTAAGGAACTAATGGGACGAAACCTAGCGTATCATAAGCTCCGCGGGACTAATGGGAAAAAGAGTCGCATTAGTTCCGTAACGGAACTGATGCGAATGCTACGGAACTGTACCACGGAACTACTGGGCATATAATTCGAAAATTTTAAATTATATATTGTTACATTTACTCTAGATATGTTCCAGAAAAAAATGGTAGGTATCTTTGGTGAAATTAGCATAACTACCAATAGCATCCTTATTATAGGTATTTTGAAAAATATAAACATCTTTTTGTAAATTTTCTGGATCATATGAGTATACACTCATTAATCTATAATCAATTATCTTGTTTTCAGATTAAAATAGACAACTACAATAATTATTACGCCACTCTACGGGATAAATTGGACAACCTGTATGGAAGAATAAAACATGCCTTGCACATCTAACTCACAATTTTTTTTCAATTTAACGCCTGTCAAATTTTAGTCATTTTGATATCTTGTTAAAATACGTTTTATACATTTAGTAGTGTTTATTACGTTACAGTGCAGTTACATTTGTTTTGCATAATATAACTATTACAAAATAAATAGTTTGAGTGTATCTGTTACTGAAACAACTTTCCATGAAATAGAAATATACACATATATAAAATATCTATACACATATATACAAACGGTTCGACGAAATATAAACGAAAATAAATAAGGGCACGGATAGCGAATTGGTTTAAGCGGTCACCTCCCGCTTCCTACTGAGCGGAGTGTTGTGGGTCCGATTCCCACATGGGACGACACTTTATGTGATCCACAAATTGTCGTTTTGAGTCTGGGTGTTCTTTGTTTCCGTTTAATGTATGTTTGTAAAGTCCCCGCGACACAGAATATATTTTTAGTGCGGGAGTTGTATTTTTTTTAAAGAAAAGAAAGAAAAAAAAGAATTAAAAATCATTTTTTATTAGAACTTGAACATTTACATTATACTCCGTGAACGCGACAACACAAAGATTCGTGACAGCAAGAGAAGCGGAGTGACTATTCCTGTGTCTGGGACCTTTTTGACCTATCACAGATGTAATGTAGGTGAAGCAGACCAACATGGAACTGGTACCTTCTCTATTCAAGTGCCACGTTCAATTATAATAAGCTTTCTAAGGCAAAGTTTGTCAGTTGGTTGTGTTCCATATTTTTTTATTTTTTTTGATACGACTTTTTGAAAAGCCAATTCATTATTTGTTTTGGACATTCTCAGCGTATTGGCGGCGATTTTATGGTATCGTTAATTTATTAACTCTGCCCACATAGCACTTCGATAAAAAAAGGTGTTGTTTGTTTCAATTTTAAGCGCAAGGATCCCTTGATCTGTTCTGGATCTCTTTCGCCATGCGGATGCTTCGTGGTACATCGCACACAGAACACGACCAGTTCTTATCTTGCACCTGGTGCGTGAGGTTGGCTGCCCGGGCGGCATCATAATCTACTTCACGTGGCTTCCAGTACAACTCCATCGAACCATCTCTGCACGTCATTTTCTTACATATCTGTGGATAGAAATTGCTGAATTTAACATGCCTTAGAATATGTCAATATAATTCTCTGGTGCTTTATAAAAGTTTTGCGATCTTGCTTTCCTAGTAAAGCTCAAGGTATATCTTAGCAAACATATTATTATGTTCACTGTGTTTAGTATGTGGAAAGAGTAAAAAAAGAAGTTTTAACAGCTTTGTATGTTACATTTCCATGCTGAACTAGGAATAGATAATGTTTTTCCCCTTTAAAATGCATTACAGAACAATAAATAATAATCCAATTACTGTATTCGACCAAGTGATGTACAAACCGATGCAAGATATTCGTCTCTGGAGGCGTCCGGCCAGTCACAGGTCCAATTGGTTGGTGGCACGCAGGGACAGACGGGCGTCGTGTAGCAACTGCTCGGATGCGCACATGGCATTTGACAACATTGCTGGCACATGGTGTATACCTTTAATTACGTAAAATAAACCCTTTAATACGGGAAAAGATTTAAAAAAATCAGCTAAAAATAATTAATTAATAAAAAAATTTATATTAATATTATTAAGAGGTAAAGTTGTTGTGAGTTTGTATGTTCGGGGTAATCTCCGGTACTACTAATCCGATTTTGAACATTCTTTTACTGTTAGAAAGGTATATTATTCATGAGCGCTACTCTTTACGAATACAAATTGTCACCACCCCAATTCATCCCGTGGGTGTCGTAAGAGCCGACTAAGGGAGCAAACTAAGCAGGACAACAGCACTGCAAAGAGAAGGAAAACTTGTAACAAACCCTATACCAACCTGTCTGGCCAGCGTGGTATAGTAGGCCAAAACCTCCTTTCTAAGGAGAGGCCTATGTCCAGCAGTGGACTAGTATAGGCTGTTGATGATGACTCTTTACCGCGATAACCGACATACTTGCGGGCGGAACCGGCGTCAAAAGCTAGTGTGGTATAAACAAAATGAAATAACACAAAAAACACGGTTGTACGGTAGCGCCATCTGTGTGTGACAACAATTCCGAAAGATTAATTCGTATCTTGGAAATAGGTAGTGCTTCATTAACTTGGACATGTGACCATTTTATTTCGTGGATTTACTCGTACAATACAAATATCAAGATTTATTCATTTTTTGAAAATTTAATAATTTATTTTAAATCTACTTCATAATTAATCATATTATAAGTCTATTTTCTATTAAATTATTAGTTTTTATTATATAAGTTACGATTGCATGATTTTAGAGCCAATTCTTTGGAGTTATTTTAGGTTTGATAGTTAAATGTGGCTGCAATTCATTTAGGCATAATTTTTACAATTACAAGAGCGTAAGTCTTGTATAATCGTTATTAAGTACTGATAATTATAATCATTAGGTACTACTAAAACATTTTAACATTTTAACAAAACATTTAAGTGTTATTTAAAAAAAATCGGTTTAATTGTAGTTTAGTGTTGGTAACCAATTATTGAATAAGATTATTTTGTTAATTTCATTGTAACTAGCTGACTCAGCAAACGTTGTTCTGCCATATAAATTATCAAAACAATCAAACCCTACTACCAAATATACAAAAAAAAACGGACGAGCCATTTCGGAGGAGTGCGACCACAAACAGCGTGAGACGAGATATTTAATCTAGAAGAACAAACGGACGGAACAACTCATCTTTTCTGTAGACTGTAGACTATATATGTAGTTCCGCGTATGACACAAGTTTCCAAACTCAAAACTGAGACCAGTTTGTTATTATAACAACGAGCGATGAACAAGTGTCTTACTGTTAAAACCTGGTATTACTTATATAATTTCGCTGTGAGACAAACATTAAAAGTTCATGCACACAAATGTTTGACTTGAGCAGGAATCAAACCCGCGACCTTTAGAATAACAGTCCGTTACGCAAACCACTACGCCATCCGGTCGTCTTACTAAAATATTTGAAATTAATTGCCTCAATGTAGATAGTATCTCACTTCTTCAGAAGTTTAACTGACTTTAATGGGAACTACTTTCGCTTAGTGCCTATCAATCACATCACATCAACAGCCTATACTAGTCCACTGCTGGACATAGGCCTCTCCTTAGAAAGGAGGTAGTGCCTATTGCTTTCAATAAATAAATTTATAGAACTTAGGTGGTAATAGAAATCAAAGTCCTAAGTGCGGTGTTATTACTTGCCGAAAAATATGTTTAAGATAACTTACCAGCCAAACAGCTCGTGCTATTTCGTTCCGGACGTAAGGTAGACAATTCCACAGCAAACAATTCTCAAACTTGGACAGCTCCGGTATGCCCATATTCTTTTCCACCCCTCCTGGTCCAAGTAACACCTGGAATTTGGGTCCACTACATAATTGTGTAGGTACATAAACCCCTGATAATAATGAAATCAAAGTTGACTCCACGATCGTTCTTTTAGAAATAATTGGAATGTTTTATTTTGTGTATGAAGTCATCTGTTGTTTATATTTGTTTAAACAGTTAATAATCGTTCTTAGATCTACATTAACAGCTAATACTTATTGAATAAAAAGTTTATCGCAGTTATTCCATTACTATATTATACTCGTACTATATCCATTACTATATTATGCGTTGAACGAGATCAGGAGAAGACCTTCGCACGACGTCCCTGTAATAGCACTAGTCGCTTCTAATCTTGACGCCTTCAAAAAGGCGTTGAGACACTAATATAATACTTTACTGGATCTTTCTAGTCACTTCTTAAAATAAAAATGATATATCTAACATGATCTATATTTCTTTATAAGTAGGTATACCTACTAATTACAAACGTGCTTTAGTGAAATAATACTGATCTATTATTACGACACTAATCTATGCGGTGGTATGTGTCGTTACACAACACAAGTAAAAAAAAAGCTAATAAAATTAAAACATCTTTAGTCATACTCTGAGAAGTCATAAGAGAAATGCATTTTTTGACCAAGAAAATTTTAATTATTGCCATTAATCAGTAATACAGGATAAACTCTAGAGAAACCTCCTTATTAGTTAACAGGGTTTATCGTGGCCAGGCATTATCCGGTTTCAATCATGCTGTGGTGACTTCAACACAAAAAAAAACATACTTCAATAAAGACAAATCGAACTATGGAGTCACAACCATTCCTGTATCGTGCAATGAAATTTTTTGCGCCGATTAGTATACATATGTACAGCTTCCCAGGATCAACCATAGAGCCGCAGCCTGCCTATTCGGCAGATCCCTTTGTGTTGGAGCGAGGCTATCATTTATACCTCCATAATGGTTTATTGGATGTTAGCTATCAAGGAGCAACTGAGCCATATTTTTGTGAACACGCCTCAAAACACCGGCCCAAGATATGATTCTTGAGGTGATTAGGAATCTTAACAACATACAAGTAATAAAACGGGATCTGACAGTAGTCTGAATATATCTGACTTGATCATGATGTTATCCAGACCATTCCTCAGTCCGATCTCAATCAGCTTAATTATGATTTACGAATTCTAACTGGAATTGAATCTCGTAGGGAATGGTATAAATAAATCTAATTAAAGTCATAAATGTTTCATGTTATAGAAAAATAACGATGTTTACTTTGTATGCAGGCAAATAAGTTATCGCGGATGTTTTATTAAATATTAAATATTTAAGTTTTAAAGGATTTGTTTTATGAAGTTTAGTATCCTCTACTATGCAAACATATTTATAAAGTGGTGTTGAAAATCACTTTTGATTATATATATTTAAACGAAAACATCAAAATCAAGCAATATTTTGTATCAAAATGTGTTTCACTTATATTATACTGAAGCGTAGGAAAAGGAAGTAAAGTAGAATCACTTGATTGTACTTTACTTCCTTTCACTGTATATAGATGTTGTTTTGTGTTTTTTTTTTTTCAATAAAAGTCTACTAGTTAAATCTGAAGATCTATCATTTAAGCATACTCCCAAGAAAACACTGATTTTTGTTACTAAACGTTTTGAAACTAAAACAAGATGTGACTTAAACAATATAAATGAATTGCTTTGTACGTTGATTGAAAAAAAATGTAAAAGTACGATCTTACTTCGCTTGCAAAGAACTGGCAGCAAGGTGCACATGTCCCAAGGCTGTCGACGTAAGCGCACTGAAGGACTCTCGTACCCTGTAATCCTTTGACCACATTGATAGTGTTTCTTGCGATGGCGAATGCGCCAGCTAGACATGCGGTTGCAGCACTGCAGCCCTTAGCTGCACAAACGGCCTCGTTACCGCTCATGATGCATGATGTTACGCACTCCAACTGAAATATTAGTAAAAAAATAAGAAATGTTATTAAAACATAAAATTACTTTCCACCCTGATCCCAAGTTCAAAGCTTCAAATGATTGGAGTACTAGACAGTCAAGCTACGTAAAAAGAAAAAGTTGACGCAATAACGTAATACATTTTTAAGCAGAAAATTAACCCACCTAAAATATGTAAAACAAGTTATGAAAGTCAAATACCCCAATTTAAATAATTTATTTAATGGGACATTAAACAATTACACGTTGGGTAATAACTAGTTTAAAATTAGAGTAAATAATCTGTTGAGTGAACGTGCAACCCACACCTATGTCTACGAAATAATATTGGAAGGAACGAAGTGTAAATCGTGCATATTTTATGTATATTTAATTTTATATAAATTATGGAAGTTAAAGCCTAATGCTAAGTTTTAAAAAATTAAGTTGCTGCAATTTTGAATTTAGTTTGCGACTGTGCGAAAATGTCAACATTGGCAAGGTGTGTGTTGTACGTTTCCACAATGTGACGGAGAGGAGCCATGCACCGGCATTGGTTCTGCATTTACCATTGTGGAACAGCCGAGGTACGCGCACCTCGCGCCTCAATACAGTTATAGACACCACATAACACAACTGATTAGTGATGCCGCTGCAATCAAACTTTTTACCACATATGCCATGTAACGTCATACACATCAGAAATTTGAGTTTAGACGCCAGGCTTAATAAATTGTATTCTACAAGAAGATCTGGATAGGGTGAAATTTGGTGAAATTAGTAGTATATGGTTCTCAAAAACTTCTTTTGAACCATCTAAAGTCGGGTTACATGCTTGTCATAAATAGGATCCCAAATTGGAATTGGGATCGTAAAGTATAGTTGAGATCTTATAAGAGTATTATATAGAAATAGTAAAGTAGACGGGCGCTTGAAATCTTTGGAAGATCTCACAACAGCCATACATTTGAAAAGATTTACTAATAATACTGTTTATAGTGTTTATATGTTGATCTAGATGTAGTTTTGAGTCAATGGTGACACCCAAGTCACGAATGTAGTCAACCTTTTGTAAAGCAATATCGTGTAAAGTGTTATTGTGTATTATGATTTTCTTCTTCCTTGTGTAAGTTACTGCTTTACATTTGGGTTTGCTGAGGTGTAGTTTACGAGTATTACGAGAACAATTTAATTAAAGTTGCTTTAGGTTGTCCTGTAAAAGTAAACAGTCTTGTAGCCTATAGCACTCTTTGTAAATGTTCATGTCATCAGCATACATTAAAAAGGAGAGGGCCCAGGATTGATCCCTGGGGCACCCCGGAAGTGACGGATTTAGAGTCAGATTCGAAGAAATTGATTACTACTTTTTGAGTCCTATTAAAAATGTAAGATGTGAACCAGCGTAGTAAGTTGCCACGAATACCATTGAAGGCAATTTTATCAAGGAGCAATTTGTAATCTACCTTGTCAAAAGCCTTCTGGAAGTCGGTCTATACAGCGTCAACTTGAACATTATCATCCATACTTTTGAACAAAAAGTTGGCGAATAGCATGAGGTTAGTGGTGGTTAAACGCCGTTTAACGAAGCCATGCCTTAGGTATAATAATATTATGGATGTGTGGATATAATTCACCGTGAAGAAGACTCTCAAAAAGCTTTGAGATGGTAGATAATATAGAAATGGGATGATAATTAAGAATAGTATTTATATCGACACTTTTATAAACCGGTGTTACAAAAGCGCGTTTCCGAATTTCGGGAAATATACCTTCGCGTAAGCATTTGTTGAAAATAATAGAGAGAGGATTTACTATATATTCAGCTATCTTTTTATAAAAATTGGAGGCACACCATCGGGGCCTGGCCCTATTGATGTTCATGTTTTTAATCGCTTTTAATTTGCCGTCAGTAGTTAGTTAGTTAGGTTATGTCCGATAGGTAGGATAAGTTATGCGCGAATATGGTTGGTGCTTTTTAGAGTTCAGGGTCAAGGGAGGAAGCTTCATAAACGGACGTGAACTACTTGGAGAACAGGTTGCAAATTGCACTAGGGTCATTTGTGTGTTCGTTATCGAGATACATATTTTCACCCGATCTTTCAGCTGGGATATCATTGAGTAACTCATCCCAGTCCAGATCGAAGAGTTCTTTATTAATTAAATCGTAGTTAGCTTTATAATAGTAAGTGAGTAAGACATTTGTTAGTCCATCCACAAATAAATGGATGGAAGGATGTGGATAACTGATATATTCTGATTTTATGGTATAGAGGGTTAACAAGCAGACCACGGACCCCTGCAATTCAAGAGTCACAGAATGCAAAACAACTATTTCAACTTGCCTGCTCTTGACTCAAACTGCCCGGATGTACCGCTGCAGAGAGCACTGGCACCATAGTGCACGGCGTGGCACCTCCTATGACGGGAACTTGTACAGATTCAGGGGGCGCCTTTAAATAGTCCGCCAGTACTGTGTTTGCTCTCACACAGTTTAACTCGACGGATCCAAGTAACATACGGGGGTTGTACACCCCTCGCAGACGTTGTATCTCACCTACGAGTGGCACCATACTTTCTACTGGTTCTGTTGCAACTATTGTAAAACACTGGAAAATTAAAAACAATCTGCTAAAAGACGAAACAAAGATCTATTTCAATTTAGACAATATCTTTCATATGATCGTATAATGATCTTTTTTTATACATTACCAAATACTACATATTAAATGAATTTTAAGTAAGCGCATATTATGTGAACGGTTGCAGCTTGTAGCCACATTCATATTCAGCAAATACTTAAGAGTCATAATGAATACATGACAAATTTACATATTAATTACTGTTTACAGAATTATGTTTCGTTAAAAGTTTTTGCGTGGGTCAATGTATAAATGCAATAATCCAATATACCGTTGGTCACTAATCCCTCCCACACACCCATCACTGTAACTCCTGTACACCAGGATTAACAGCAGTGACCAACGAACATACCGAGTAATGACACTCGGGAAGTCCCAGAAAAAAATTAAACTGTCTTGGAACCCGCAACCAAATCAATCAGAAGAAAATTGGAGGAGTTGGAAATACAGTAAATCCACTTCCCTCCTTAGAAAAGCGGTAGACAAAATGAAGTAAAATAAGCATACACCCTTTTAAACACGGCCACAAAATATTATGGGTCCTAAGTGAGCTATATTTGATTTCTATAATATGTATGGCAGAATCGACTAAACGCACGGAAATTAACCTTAGTTTACACAAGATTGCCATAGTATAGCGTACCGTTGGTCAGTCAGACATGATCACTTTGCCTGGGAGATCCCCCTTTCGTGGTAAAGGAACATTATGAACTGTTCGTCGACCTTGCTGGCCCCGCCCCGGTCAATTCGGTCAAATATATAACAACTAAACAGACAAAGATACTGCGAATAAATGAATAGGTCTTACTAATGGACATGTGTTACAAATCTGCAGTGCAATATCTGTAACAACTGGCGCATTGTTTTCGAAGGTATCAACTTTATCACGCGCAACTATGATCACCACTTTTGCATTCTGTAATAAGTACACGTAAGCTTAATAACTAATCAATACTAAGTGTGCCTTACACTAAAAGCTTTTATGTTCATATGGTTTGATATTTTAATGAAACCTAAGCACATCTAATAAGCATGTGCAACGTTATTGTGTCAATCATGAAAATCTTCGCTCGAGATTTTTAGTAGTATACTCGTATTGATACACTTGCAATGAAGTTTTATTATTATTATTTCTGTTTTATTGGATGACGAATCAATTTCTGTAATAATAAATTCGATAAAATACTCGTATATTTATCACAAGTTGTGTCATCATCTCGGACTTTGCTGACAGTGAAAAGTACAAAGTCAGCCTAGTTTATAGTCGTACGGTAAGCTTTTTTTATTGTATTACTACTAATATATTGGAAATACTAAGTTAGATATACGACAGTAAAAGATCAGAAATCGACTGAAGTATTAAGTTCGGTATATTAGTCCGTTATTACGGTTATTCGAACTTTGATTCCGCACTTGGTGATTAAACTCCTTCCGATTAGTTCACAGATTATTTACATATCAAAAACAATATAATCTACCATTTTGATGTTTTTTTAGGTTTCTATATCAGTACATACACCGAGCTCTGGGTGTACGGAGACGAGATTATTTCCACCAAATGGGAGCAGAGCGGAAATGTGCAGAAACAAGTGTCGTAACGTGCAAAGTGAAAGTGAGAGAAGACCAGACGTCCCGCTAGTACGACATATTTTCTATGGAAACACCTCACATCTTCTCTGCTCTGTTTAGCAGTTGCTACTGAAACTGAGCGGAGACGAAACTGATAAATAATGAAAGTCTATCGGTTGCTAATAATACATCTCGTCTCCTCTCCTTTCGTCTCTTGGTGGATAACGGGCCTGAGTAACATGAGAGGGGACGATTGTGATGAGTTATTTGTGTGATGCAAGTAAGGAATAAATACAAAAATAGACACGTACTTTTAGTGCATCGCACAACATATGTCTGCCGGAGTAGGATGATACTTTACACTTAGTGTCTACGTGGCTCAGCTCCATGCCGTAGCCGCAATTAAAGCATGGATCATACAGCGCTATCTCATCTAGCAGAGGACACTGCTTTAATAGAAGCGCAAGAGGCTGACCTGCTCAAAACGTATAAAGTTTATTAACATTATTTTTGTTTTTTAAAAACAACTCTCGCATTAGGAATATATCCTGTATCGCGGTTGACTTTACATTAATTAAACGGGCACAAAGAAAACCCAGATTCGGAACAACAATTTGTAGATCGCAAAGTGTTGTCCCATGTGAAGATTTTGAGCGTTTTATGCGACCTATTAAACTATTAAAATTATTTGTTTGTAACGTTCAAAAATTGCTTTAAAACCACGGTCTAAAGTATGGGACCTCTGGTGTTTTCTTTCCCAGTAGAGAAAATTGTCATCAATAGTGGACACAAACAATGCAAAGGTTTGACTTAGTTGGTGTTTACACGCATTTAACATTAGTCTTAGCAACCATCAGCCCTATTTGAAGAGTTATTTATATTTTTCGACTGTTTATGGAAAAGGGTTTAATCTACAGTAGCGGTTTATTGACTGTAAAAATAATTTTACATTTTCTATGACGTATTTGCCCTGAGATTCGACTCTTACAACGATTATATTATAATCAATTAAGCTACAAACTTCAAGATGTGGAGCCCGGGGAGATTTAATTTTGTTACGAGACATTAACAAATGTTTTTTTTTTACGTAGGTAGTAATCTTTAGCAAGGTATATGAAGTTTGCTGTCTTACAAAAACTAACGGACACATTTCACGGCTATTTAATAATCTGTCCAACGAATAAAATACTTCTTCTCTAGAAAGATTATGTAATCTTTTTTGTTCAAGCAATTTATTTCTGTTTCAATTTATTAAATAATATATACATAAATGCCTTCTTCAAATATATCCACCTCTAATAACACTAGTTAGTATAGTAAATTATGATAGTAGAAACACACCACTTAAAAGGTTTAAAATGTGGTACTTACCGGTGCATCCAGCCGCCCCGCAGATTGTTACCTTCATCCCTTGAGGGCAGGTACTGTAGTTTTTCCTAACATACTGGTTGGTACATTTGTTGCACACAGCACCTAGAAATGAATTACCTTTCAGAAGCTGCTTAGTCCAACGACAAATAAATGAAGTGGTTTTCGAAATACGCATTTTTAAAATAAACAATGTTTTTATAAAAAAAAGGATATTTATTTCATTTTCACTTTTATTTGGGCTTGAAGTTTTGATCTGACATTGTTTCTTTTTTTCGTTCTTGTCTTAATGTGTTAAAAGTAAAAAGTTTTTCTATGAAATGATGTCTCAGCGTCACTTACTCAGTCTATGGATATCGCATGTGCGTTGCCTTTGCTCCCTTCAAAATATTTTTGTTTATGTTGGTAGCAATCTTTTAAACAGAACGGTCTTCCAGAACTGAGAACCCACCTACAGTAAACGAGCGAGCCTCCAGTATGCCTTACACACAAACAATAGGTCGGTTCAAAATGCGAATAATATAATGGTGAATTTAAAAGTTTTTGATGAGCACAGGACAATATAAGACAAAGTGTTGAGCACATCATCATCATCATCATCAACAGCCTATAACAGTCCACTGCTGGACATAGGCCTCTCCTTAGAAAGGAGGTTTTGGCCTACTATACCACGCTGGCCAGACGGGTTGGTACAGGGTTTGTTTCAAGTTTTCCTTCTCTTTGCAGTGCTGTTGTCCCGCGTAATTTGCTCCCTTAGTCGGCTCTTACGACACCCACAGGATGAATAGGGGTGGTGACATTCCGTATTCTTAATCCGTCACCACACGGATAAGTGTTGAGCACAGGACAATATTAAGAATTGTTGCTATATTATCATAGTTTTTACTCCCAGGAGTTAAAAACCCAGAAATAATCTGACTATACTTTGACTGCACTATCGGCGTAGTGGTTTAGTAGGACACCTCACCGCTTTCTACTGCGCTGAGTGTTGCTGATTCGATCCCCACATAGAACCACAATTTGTGTGATCTACAAATTGTTGTTCTGAGTCTGGGTGTTCTTTGTATGCGTTTTATGAATGTTTGTAAATTCACAATCTTAGCGGTTTATAAATTTATTAAAGAAGCGCTAAATATAATTAATAAAAAAATGCAACGAGAATAATGCTCGATATGACCAAAGCTTAAAACCATGACCAGACCAAAGATAAGATTGAAATGGTGTAGGAATCTACGTTAAATGGATGCAACGATTAACATTATATTTGAATCATAGGGAACAAATAAACCGATAAACGTAAGTTTTACCTTCAATGATTTAAATTTGGAAGTAGTAAATAAATTCACCCTATTGGACATTGACATAGACATTCATATTGATTGGAAATCGCACATACATAAAATAAAAGCCAAAATTCCCGAATTTACTTACGTCCTCCGAGACATAAGAAACTACAGACCTTAAAACAGATTTAAAACAGCAGTAATTGCTACCTAGCTACCTACTAGTGATGTGCCGGATATCCGTATCCGTATCCGTATCCGCGGATATCCAAGGGAGAAGAGAGATCCGTAACCGTATCCGTATCCATGACTTTTTTGGCGTATCTTTAAATACATGTTACATAGATGAAATTCTACATAGGTGATTTTGTATTCACTGTGAAACTCTTAGGTATGTGTTTGTAACACTATAAACAGCAACTTTTTTTCTGGCCAACGTCAAAATGAAAAAAAATTGGTTCTCCATTCAAATAACCAATCAAATGTTGTTAGTTTGTATGGAGAAACAATTTTTTTCTTTCGTTTTCGGTGTTAGTCCAGAAGAAAAGTTGTTATTTATAATTTTACTAATATGCACTTCAGAGGTTTTCGGTAAATTTAAAATAACCCTGAATAATGGTTATTAGGTAGCTATGAAAAACTATTGAATTCTGTTCAGTTTACTTTTTGTTTCTTAAAACAAATATTTGGCACCTATGTATTGCAATCATTTATCGTACTACTCTAAATCAACTAGGCAGGTCGTAGGTACTGAAAGTAGTGAAGTAGGTAATCAAACATCTTTGTGTTAGCTTATTTAAATAATGAAATATTTAAATATCAACGGCAAAGCGTCAAGTGACGACAACTATCAAGGTCACGGGCTCCGATTGAGTAAGAAACTTAAGATCCGTATCCGTATCCGCGGATCTTGACACCAAATATCCGTATTCGGATCCGTATCCGCGAATATACTTTGTTAACGATCCGGCACATCACTACTACCTACTATTCATATGGGTATTATAGAAAAAACTAATTAGAATCCTAGTAAACATAGAAGACACAGACAATTGCCAACCTTACTTTCTCGAGCTTTAATTCTTAACCTTGCCATGTATGTAGACAACACCCAGAGTTTTATAGCAAAAGGGAAAACATGCAAAATTACACTTAAACACAAAAGTAGATTTAACCTACTAGCTTCCCGACTCAAAATTCATTCATCCAGTCCATTTGCAATGTCCATAAAATATACAAGAAGTTGTCAAAAGCCATAAAACAAGAAGAAAAATAAAAGTTTCACAAATAAATTAAAACTCTTTCTACTAAGTAAAAGCTAATACAGTATAAAATAATGTTTAGAAGATAGATAATATATTTTAAAATTCCTTAATTCTATAATAATTATTATGGTCATATCAAAATAAATATGCAGAAGAATGAATTATTAATAATAATACATAAAACTCTGTAAGTTACCTTAATAGTACCACATTCACTACAAACATATATTATGTTTGTGTTTTCTTCCTCTTTTCCAAACAAACTGGGTTCATACATACTGCGTCCAACAGGGTCCATTATTGTTACCACATCATTTTTCATCACCTATGTATTTACATTATGGAAGCAATATAGCAAAGTATTGAGGTTGAGTACGACTACTGAAGTTTAATAAATAAATACTACAATAAATCTTAACAAAGTCATTTTTTACCGGTGGCCCACACCCTACAACTCTGGGAGTGAGACAGTCTAAGTACTTGTGTCTCTCGTGTGATTAGATGCCGTATGCTCGTTTCCCCCCTATAGCGTAAAAATTAAAACAATACCGACAACAGATTCTACTACCAGCGTCACTTTTACCTGACCATGGGTTCAACCAAAATGGTCTTAAACCAACCAACCAAGAATAAAAACTTCCAAATTCACGTGTACCTAAGTATATTTCCAAAATGCCCGACTGTTCAGAGTTTAATAAAAATGAAAAAAAGGCAGTGATAACATTCATAGCGATCTTAGCATTCGCGTTAGGCCCCAAAGTGTAGTGAATACCTTAATCAAGATGTGAAGATATAAAGATTATTTTAATTGAAGGTAGGTATATAAAAATATTTTTAAATCTAAAACCTAAGTAATGGTTTTGATGATATTTAAATTATTGTGCAAGAAAGCTGCCAAGAATCGAATGACTGTGACAGGAACCTTATTGGTTTGAATTATCAAACACGTTATATAACTGACAAGAGGGTAGATGTATTTTTACATTCATAGTAATTATTCCTTTTTTCGATTTTGATTTATTGTTCTCAAGGTAAAGATTGTAGGCAAGAGTATGCTTTTAGCAATAGCAATGACAGCAAGCTTTTCGTGATAATATAAATTTTTACCATCTTTCATATTGAAGTAGTTGTTTAAAAGACAACAGAGGATCCTATTGTGCCTTTTACAAAAACTGTATACTCGTAAAAGGTGTCCTTTATTTTTGAGTTTATTTTCTTATTTAGTTGTCATCATACACTAAAACAGTAATTAATTATTTTAACATATATATATTTATTGTAACCTCGTTTTAAAAGTACAATTTCCCCGAGTTTCTGGTATTGTTGGTATTACAGTAATAATAAAAATGAATTGCATTGTAGGGTGGATTTTTCTAAACAATGCTCGTGAACGCAATTGTATATTTCTACTATAATCGCCAATTTAATTTTTTATTATTAAACCCGAACAAACACGCAATGTCTATCAAAGTGAAGTAGGTACACATGAATAGTGCGTAAATACTAATGATTTCTTGATGAAGACATTTGAACATGATTTCTAGCCAGATTACACAAACGATATTTCAAATCTTTCAAGTAACACTAAAATAGAGAAGTTTTGATAGATATTTAATATCACGTTGTACTTTTTAACATAAAAGTTTACTGAATAATTTATGTGCAAAGATGCTATCTTTTCGTTCTGGATAGTAATTGTGTAGTTTTATTACTCGTTGCTAACAATCCAGTTAATGGTGCATTTGGTCATAAGTTTCCAACAATAATACACTGAAGTGTTTGCTTTCATAATGTTGTTTGAAATTAAAACATTTTTGTATACCGATCCCAACTATAATCTCTCTTTACGTAATATATTTAAGCCTTTGTACGTTATTCTTTCAATTTTCGGCCTTTTTCCTTACAGTTTAAAATTTGAAAACAAACGTAATTTAATGATTATACCGAAGACAATTTACTTAAACTCCGTATGTGCCGTCTCATATGTTTTGTTTATGGCATCATTTTTAATTTTGCACGTCCGATACGTGTACGAATCTCTTGGCGATAACTCAATGACTAGAGAAGTTGTGACACAAATGAATTATATTTTGGAATTAATAGTCTCCTTCGTGGTTTCGATAACGGCATATATATGCGTGTTTAAGAACCGCTGCATCTTTGTAAATATTATAAATAATATAGCAAATATGATTGAACCTCCAAACATCAACATCGAACGTATCCTAAGGTATTTTCGGTTTAAAGTAAATACGATTATTTTGGGTTTTCTGCCGACCGTGCTTTTACTTCAAGTGTGTATTAATTTCACACGAGATGATGAACTATGGAAACAGGTTTTAGTTTTTGTAACATTCATGTTACCTCAACAGATACAATTCACTGTGTTGTCTTTCTATTACTTGTTGATATTGATGTTGGTTGCCCTATTAATGAACATAAGAGAAAAAATCTTAGCCGTAACAACAAACAAAACGAATGTCCTGGAATGTTGTGTGAAGGCCAATGCAAAGATATTAAACTTACAATTCGTGGAGACGTTGTACGTGAAAGCACTTGAAATAAAGCGTCAGATCGTCAACGCATTTGAAGCAGTGTTACTAATAACCACTATACAATGTTTTCACTCT